CAGGCCTGGGCACTCCTGGGGTCACACCCCAATCCTGGGGGCAGGCCTGGACACTCCTGGGGTCACACCCCAATCCTGGGGAGGGGTCACACCCCAATCCTGGGGACAGGCCTGGGCACTCCTGGGGTCACACCCCAATCCTGGGACAGGCCTGAGCCCCTCACTGCCAGAAAGAATTGAGGGGCCGGGGTCTGGGCTGGAACTGTGCCCTCACGCCTGGCACTGGGCTTTTAGAGAAGCACAGATTCAACATTGCAGCAGATTTGGCTGTTGGAACCCCCTGTGCTGATTGCAGCCACTTCCCCTGCTCTCCAGCTGCTGCTGAAGCACAAGTTGGGGTTTCTGGCTGTGGCCGAGGCTCTGGGCGCGTTTGGGCCCAGCCCTGCTCCACACTGGGGTATCCCCGGGGCTGATGGGATCCTTGTCTGTGTTTGTCCCTGCCAGGGTGCTCAATTACTGCCGTGTGTTCACGGAGCTGTGYGAGACCTTCCTGGACAAGATCGTGTGCACCCCGGGCCAGGGCCTGGGCGACCTGCGCACGCTGGAGCTGCTGCTCATCTGTGCAGGGCACCCGCAGTACGAGGTGAGGGGGACACAGCCCAAACCCACCTGTCCCAGCCCAAACAGAGGGGAAAACCTTCCCTTCTCTTTCCACACCCTCATGGCCTCGGTCCCTGTGAGCTGCTGACTCTGGAACGCCTGCTCTGCACTTGTGAGCAGGACTCGGGTTCACGTTTCCTCCTGGGTGTCCTGGAGGGCATTGCCAGCACAGCTCCAAACCCTGTTAGTGCTTTACCACAGCTTAAAGTCGAGCTCAGTGGGCATTTGTGGTTCCTGGGAATTTTGCCCTTCAAGTGACTCTGAGTGGCTGCTTCACATCAGAGCTCCTGCCCACCTGCCTTAAGTGCAAAACTTGTCATTAAGTTTTGGTCTCTTTTTATCTTTTTTAATTTTTTTATCCTTTTATTCTTCCCAAACCATTATTAAGTCCCAGTGGCTGACCCCTGCCTGTGTTCAGTGGATGGAAGCTGCTGCTTGGCTGGTTTGCCAGGGGAGGTGCAGAGCAGCTGCTCCAGCAGGCTCCATGCRTGCCCTGGGGTCCCTGGGACCCTTTTCCCCCCTTCCCAAACTGTTAAACTCAGTTTTCCTTGGCTGTGACCTTGTCCTGTGCCTGGTGCTGAGGGACATGGAGCTCTGCAGCTGCTGCTGACCAAACCCACACTTGGGGGTTTTGTGCAATAACCACACGATAAATAAAAGCACCCACACAGAGGGGCTGAGTCCACTTCCAGCCAGAGCTGCACCCTGAGCCCCGAGCCCCACTCTGGGGGTTCTGGGCCAGAGAGGCTTTGGGTGCCAAGGACAGGTGTTCAGGGTCACTTGGGGCTCAAAGGCCTTTATTAAATGACAAAGAAATCAGTGGATCTGGGGCAGCCAGTCCTTGTGTCACCAYTGTGTGACACAGCAGATCTGTGGTGCTGCCACTGCTGCCACCCCAGGGAGGGTTTTGGTTTCTCCATTGGGACCACCGTCAGAGTGGGGAAAAAATATTCTGCTGCTAACACGGGATTTTTGCTCCCAAACAGGTGGTGGAAATTTCCTTTAACTTCTGGTACAGACTGGGGGAGCACCTGTACAAGACAGACGATGCTGTGATCCACAGCATCTTCAAAGCCTACATCCAACGGCTGCTGCACGCCCTGGCCCGGCACTGCCAGCTCGACTCTGACCACGTAAGGGCCCCTCTGGGGACAACCCTCTGGGGACAGCCAGGCAGTGCCATGTGTGTGTGTATGTGTGTGTGTGTCCCCTGCAGGCAGTGGCAGTGCTGGGGACATGTCCCGTTGTGCTCTCCTGTGCCAGAGGTTCTGTGTAGCTCTGAGGCTGTGCAGGGCAGCATCCTGTGCTTTGAGGGGTTGCTGGAAGGAGGGAGAGGGCAGATTTGCTGCGTTAAACCTTTCTCATTCAGTCAGTGTTTGCTCTGTTTGGCTGTGGAGGACCCTCTCCCACCTCCCCTGGATGGTTCTCCTTGCAGAGCTGTGTTTGTTTCCCTGCTCAAGGCAGTTTTGTTGGGATCAAACTGTCACAGCTCCCCAGCCRCAGTGCTGGCATCTTCCTCCAAGCAGTCTGGGATGCTTTATCCTCCTTTCCTCCCCTCCTCATCCCTTGCTTCCTATCCCTTCCTCTGCTTGTTGGAGCAGGAATATGCAGTGTGTGCTCAGGCTGATCACGTTTGATTTGGGCACAGCTCTCCAATCCCTCCAGCAGCCTGGTCTGGGACAGGAGGGCAGGAATGATGGATCTCCTTAGAACAGAATGACTGGTGTTCCCCTGGCTGTGGCTGAGTGGAACCTGAATCCCCTGAGCTGCCCCTGTTCTGTCCCTCCTCTCCCCCAGGAGGGTGTCCCAGAGGAGACCGATGACTTTGGGGAGTTCCGGATGCGTGTCTCGGACCTGGTGAAAGACCTCATCTTCCTGGTGGGCTCAGTGGAGTGCTTTGCTCAGGTGGGTTTGCAGGAGAGCTGTGAGGTCACTGTGCCCTGGTGGCCTTTGGGACTGCAGGAGGTCACACACATCTGTCTCATGCATGACTGCAGGAGGTCACACACATCTGTCTCATGCAGGAGGAAGTGTGTGGTGGAACGTGTTGTGGGAGAGCAGGAGGTGTCTGACATTCTGGGGAGAGCCTCTGTGCTGCCACAATCTCAGGGTGGCCTGCAGAGTGTGGGGTTTGTGTGGACCCACGGCTAGAACGGGAGTTTGGRGGTGGGACGGGTCAGGAGCAGGGTTTTGGGGGCTGGGGGTTGGCGTTGGGGGTTCATGGCCCATGTTCCCATTCCCCCCTGCAGCTCTACGCCACGCTCAAGGACGGGAACCCCCCCTGGGAGGTGACAGAAGCTGTGCTCTTCATCATGGCCTCCATCGCCAAGAGCGTTGACCAGTGAGT